CCCCGGGGTCAGCAGGATCAGCCACAGGGGACCCGCCCCCGGTCAGCAGGATCGGCCACCAGGGGACCCTGCCCCCCGACCCCAGGCGCTGACTGAAGAGGCACCAGACACCCATACCCATGCAACTGCCCTTTATGAAGGAACGGGTAGAGGAGGTATAACAAGCAGAGAAACTGCAGCCTAACTTTAACATATCTAGCACAATATTAATTTGCCCAGGCTGCAATTTCCTTTACGATAGGAACAAAAGCATTAAAATATTGACCACTGAAAGGCTCTCAACTTGTAAATCAACAGGTATCTGCACTAATTGAAAAGAGGACTGCTTAACATTTAAAAATCAAAAACAGGATGAGGTTGACAACTGTGAAGCCATACAGCTATTTGAGGGATTTTGAACAGAGAAGATATCGTTGGATGGCCATGATTTCTAGGAGTATGAGCACGCAAAAAGGCTGCACATTTAGGGCCCAGTGTTCTATAAGTTTCCATATGCTTTTATTTGATGAAACACTAAGTTATTCTTTTCAGACTCATATCATAAGGAAATATAACTGCAAACAGTGTACTGCAAACAGGTTGATTTGGCAGGATGAGAACAAACCAAATTCCTGTAGAAAGTACCTGCCCAAAATATTAAGTTTACAATAAATAAAACCCAGAGGGCTCCTATTCTTATTCAAGAAGTTGGAGTGGAATTGAGGGCTCCATTTTCTTCAGGGAAATTTGTAGCAGGCCTCAAGAAAATTTCAGTGGCATACATGCAATAGATTACTGGGAAAACTAGCAACCCTATTATCATCATATCTGTTGTATGTCCCATATATCTGGTCAATTGTGAAGACAAACTGCTATTGAGGCAGGCATTTTAATGCTAGCTGCTTTGGGCAACAGAAGGAAAATCAGGAACCTACATCAGAAAATAAATGTTACCAGTTGACCATTATTAAGAAAGATAAATAAATGCACTGCATTTCTGTCTTTATGGCAAGAATGCATTATTCAGTGAGATGATTAATCTCATTCCCAGGTCCCAAACAGCCAAAAACATAGTTCAGATTCTGATTTGTCCTATAGCAGTAATATGTAAAGACAACCAAGTCATTTCTCAGTGTAAATTAAATTAGTACAGATAAAGCACCAATTCTCTGAGTCAGGCCATATCAGTGTTTTGAGGGATATTGGTTCCGGCTGAGCCAGTCTGTGAAAACCCACTGGCATTGATAGGATACGTTTTCATTGGATTCTCACAAACTGTGGAGCGGTAAATTTCTGAGGATGAAGACATATGGGGAAAAATATAAACTTACCCCAAACTCATCCCTCCACTGATGTGTTGCTTGAATCTCTTCTGCTTTTTGAGCAAGATGCTGAGGAAAGAAAAGACAATACATCCATTTTAGTTTGGGGTCTTTTTCCTCCCCAGTACTTATCATAAAATACCGTGGCTATTAACAGCTGCTAAACTTCAGAATTATAGGGACCAAGGACATCATTACTCACCTTGTACCCTGCCCCTTAGCACATGTTTGAAGCATATCCATGCACTATAAGACTTGAGCCATACCATACAAGACAGAAAGTCCAGCAGATGCAATCCCACCATTGCATTCCTGACTTCCTCCACTTCTATACCTCACTTCCCACCTCTCATCTCTAATGCTGAACAAGTCCTCAAGGAAAGACCAAGAAGCCTGTAGGCAGACTCCTAGAAAGGGTCAGTAACAAGGCAGATCAAACAGGGTAACTGGGAGAGAAAGGAAGATCTGGTTTACAAGGGGACCTTATAAGGGTTGAAAAAGGGGAACATCACAGGCAGTCGCAGGATCTGCTTAAGGAACAAGGAGCAACTGCAAGTTAAAATGTTGATAGAGAAGGGCAGCTTATGTGACCTGGGCTGTTCGTACGTGACTGTCAGGGTCTGCCCTAAATATCAGGTGGGATTCCACAGGAAGAAGGCAAGTCCTAATGCCTAAATTCTGCAAATTGTACATTCTTTTTTTTTTTTTTTTAATCTGACAGATTACTGAGACTCCTTTCAAAAATGCCCAGTACTGAAAAGTACTCAGTGTATAGAGTCCTGTGTTATGCATCCAACTGGGCCCACAGAGAAGAACAGAAAACCTGTATAAAGCCTAAGTAATCACACGTTACAAGTTTTCCACACAATGCTCATAAGGTGACTAAATGCACAAGCAAAAACTGGGGGCAAGAAAGGATTTAGGAGCCATGGAATTGCCAGAGTGGATTAAAGTGGTCTCCCACCTCATTTCCCTTTCGTTGCTGATTCAACCTATGGACTAGAACAGCAACTGCTATTTCAGGTACAGCTTCTAAGCCATTTGAATAGCATAATTCTATTTTTTATCATCATCATCATTAGTAGTAGTAGAAGTACCATTATCATTAGCCATGCTCATCTATCATTATGGTACCTTACATACCAGAATGTATCATGAGATACTAGATATTGTAAATTGATGCAATGGCCCTCACCACTCAGTTATACTATGTTTCTTCTCCTTTCCAGCCTATTAACACTGCCTTTTATCTTAGTTGAAGGATATTTTCTGCAACGTAACATTGAAAAGTTAGCCACACATTTTTTCCTGCTCCAGATACATTCACCGAGACGGTAAAGCTCAATTCCTAATCCAAACCTTTGACACATGCAGGAGCTGCAGTACTAGAACAAGATACTGACCCCATCTAGTATGCTGTCCTTCCCCTGCCAGCAGCCAGCCTTTGATATAAAACAGACTGTGCAAATAAGCCAGACATGCATGCAAAATGACTCTGACCCATGTAATTCTGCAGCATGGAAACTTCTATCAGCTTTTTCGCATAAATATCTTGTCCTTTTCTATCTAGTTCACATTAAGTCATGTTCTTCCACTCATTCAGATATATTTCTATAGGTAGATTATACCCCAAATATATGCCCATTTAAAACTGAACTGTAGTCAATTACGTTCTAGCTCTGATTCTTTTCAGTCATAAGGTTATAATCCTTTCTTTTAATTCCTACCTTATATACAATCCCTAGCTTTTTGGGGAGCTCTCTTTCCAAGCCTTTTTTCTCTTTCATTTGTGCTCTGGTTTAGATGATGCATTCCCATATTACCACTTCTTTGAGTGAAGACATTGTATATTCATAAAAATGTTTGCTCATCCATGCCTCACAATCCCTCTATCATGCATTAATACAAGCTGACCTTAACTTTTCTTGAGAACTCCCCACTGATTCAGAGCTCATCTGTGTTTCTGGAAATGTTCACCTTTTTCCTGAGTCCAAGAAATTGTACGTTATCTATATTAAAATAATCTACCATTATGCTACCCAGTCACCCAAGGTTTATTAGTTTTTGAAGATAATGTTATGAGTATATATTTCACCACCTATTTAGCTTTCATTGTAGGCAAGGTTGATAACAATATTTTTAAAAGTGACTTGACATTCCCTATGATAAAGAAACATTTTTTTTTCCAGGTGTTTATAGCCTTGCTAAACTGTGTGGGCTGAAAATTTCCATGGTAGGTGTATGAAGTGCTAGGAAGAATTTCTGTCAAATGGGTCACTGATTTCCAAAAAATAACTTAAAAATACAATGCAGAAATGTTGCGTATCTTAAAAAAAAAACAAAAAAACCCCAAACAAATAAATCTCTTGATGACCTTTTCTTTGCAAAGCTCTGTACTTGGCAACAGGAGGTGGGAATGTAAGATGGAAGTTTCCTTTCGTGCAAAAACAAACCTTTTGTCATCTTTGCTCGTTCCTTGCCTTTCCTTTTTCATGTCCTTGTGGCAAGGTATTTAGCAAAATATGCAGATTTATTGGAAGCTGACAGGGCCGCGCCACAAGTGCTTCTGCTGTGGCCTCGGACTTGCAACCTCTGGGCTGTCAAATGTGCTGCTTCGTGAAATCTAACAGTGCACGCTTGCTAAGCAAAGGCATGGTAAAGTTTTGCAAATAATGTCCTGTGATTCTGAAGATTACACTGATCGTGGTCCAGTCTGGAATTAAGCAGGATGTTCTCTACAACTGGCACTCTGGATTCCTGCAGGCTGGGCACCAGAATTAAAAGCAAGGAATGTGTGCGTGTGTATGCTTGCAATGTGCCAGATACTGGGGAACAAGTAGCTGCTATATTTGAATATAGACCTGGAATGGTTCTTGGCAGGAAGAAAAGACCAAGGATGCCAGGACAATAGCCACTTTGTGCACATGTCTTTCCAACCTTAAACAGACTTTTAAACCTTTAAACAGATGGTAATGGTCACCAAAACATGGAATGGACTATATATATATGTCTCATATTGTAATTACTAATATACACAGTCTTATATTGTAACCTGCCCTGAGCATCTTTTTGGGAAAGGATGAATATAAATCAAATAAACACATCAAACAAACAAAAAATATTTCAATATCAGTGAAGGGGGTAATAAGATGTTGGAATCCCTGCTCTGTGCCACAGGTTTTGTGCAGAAAGGTGGAGTCAAGAGAAGTTGACACCTTTCGAAAAGTAATCCTTTAATTTTTTTTTTTTTTTTTTTTATAGTTACTGTCATCATATTGGCAATTTCCAAGCCTGCTCTGCTGCCAAAGCAAAGCTGTATTCTTTTGGCTTAGCCAGTTCAACCTATTCATAATTAACAGAATGTTATTAAAGTCTTATGGACAAAACTACCTTCCAAACTGGCCATATTCCAAGACTTGCAAAATAAAACAATTACATTGTAACATGAGGCATTACTTGGACAACGCATGGAATGACCTCATACAACTCACATTAATTCATTCCTTCAAATACCTACAATATTTCTTTATTTTACAAACAGCCAGATTTGCACTCAGCTTTTAAGACTGTGTCCTAATGAATTGTACACTATTTGTATCTTTTGCATCTGAACAAAGCAAAGATGACATCACTGACATTAATATGATGGCACTGAATCAAAGATTTGTCTGCATTGTGCACCTCATATGATGCCTCAGTATCTCTTTGAAAATCTGCTACCAACTTCTACTGAGGTAAAAGGAGTTCAGATGTATCAAACTAGAAAATGGCTTACCAAGGAGGACTTGTCACTATAAGGCATTTCAGACAAAGTAAGTAATTAAAACTAAGTTTTTTGGTTGTGGGGGTGGGTTGTATGTCCCCCCACGCCCCAAATGTAAAGTGAGTTTTAAAAAAAAGCCAACAGGAAGGGAGGGAAGGAGAGATTGTACGTGTGTACATAAGAGATCACCTGCAATTTAAAGATATTTATGCTTCAGTTGGAAGAAGGAATGTCCTTTCTGTTGATCTTCTTAGCCCAATTTTGCAGTTATTAGTTTCAACTAGGTTAATCAGGCATCCATCTTTTAGGAGTATTCCAAATCTAAACTGCTGAACACCACCACCCATTACTTCTCTTGTGTTTTACATCTCAAAAAAATGTTGCCAGTCTGGGCAGACATTTTTGCTTTGTACTTGCTGAAGCAGACAAACACTTCACACTTCCAAAACTGGCATTGAATTATGTCTGACCAGGATTAGATACCGAAGGACCAATTTATCACGATGCACCCAAATCTCTAAATAAAGTAAAAAACAGCAGATAGATACTCCGCACCTCTGAACATTTGCCACTTGTCCACCTTTGAAATGTCCAGTGTTACATGACAAATCATTGGCATAAATAGGATTAGAACTGTGGGGTTTCTCCACGGGACTCAACCAGCCCACCGTTCTCATGAGCAGGTCAAGTCCCAATAGAGGACATGCAGAAGACTATGAGGCAGAATTACAAAAATGAGAGATTTTGCAATTTAGTGTCCCCATTTAAAAAAAAAAGAAAGAAAAAAGAAGTCACTTAAACACTTTTTTCCTAACATGGATAGGGAAATAATACTATCCTTTGTAAAATCCAGAATATCAAATAAAATATTACTACCGGAAAACTAAGGAATTCAAAGCAAGGGGGACACTAACTCTATATTGTTACAGGAGTATCCAGCCTACAGAGGAGAATGCTCATCTTTTTATATTTGTCAAAAGCATGCACATATACATTGTGAAGCAAATTAAATGTTATGCCTTATTGGCTTTCTATGATGCCAAGTGACAGCCTCCAACTTTTCCATCCTTTCCCTCGTGAGAGCTACCTCCTTGTTACCAGACATATTTCAGATCTTTCCTTCCTTTTTTTTTTTTTTTTTTTTAATAGAAAAGTCTCTGTAACCTGGGCAGAACAGTGATGCAACAATAGCTAACGCCTTACACTTCCTCCCCCGATAGTATAAGAGTTTAATAATTCAAATGCTTAGCCTGTGACGACCCCATTAGAGCCCTTAGGTTCTCATGCAAAAACCTGAAAGAGGTTG